TATTTACACTCTTTAGAAAAAAGTTGGGTACGCAATTTTTTTGCCCATTCAATTTTAGTATAACAAAGTGCAAGTTTGAGGTAGCTAGTACTTACCATTAATTTTTAGCAATTTTGTTTGTCGCTCAATTTCTCCATATAAAATAATGCTCTATACTTTTTTTTTAATAATAAAAATAAAATTGAGTGGGCTAAAAACTACATACTCAACTTTTTTCTAGAGAGCGTAAATAAAAAGAGCAATATTTGAATGAATTTTCTTTAATTTTGCACAAGGTTTAGAACTCTGGTCTTTGGCGTTTTCATTGTAGAATCAACCATATTTTTATAAAAAATTAGCGAAAAATAAAATATTTAAAAAGTAGTTGCCCGTATTGTAAAAAATTCGCTGTACCTAAACTTTATTGGCTGACTGTATGCACTTTGTATGGAACAACTTGCATGAAAAAAATTGCCAAAATTCAACGCGATTTTCTAGCAAATTTCAGCTTACTAAAATTAAATGGGCTATAAGACTGCATACTTAGAATTTTTCTAAAAAATCTGAATAGAAAGTTGCAAATTAGATGCAAATTTGTTGCATTTTTCTGAGTTTTGCACAACGTTCAGAGATTTTATTTTTGCGTTTTTTTAGTGTAGTATAAACTATATTTTTATAAAAAATTATCAAAATAATGTAGAATAAAAACCTTTGCATATATTTCGAAAAATTCACTGTGCCAATACTTTTCTACGTCACTGTATAAAGAGAGAAATATCGTTACGTATGTTTATAATTAAAACGATAAATATATCGACAATTTTTATATTTATTTTTAAAAAGGAAGAATGGACACACTGCCGTTTTTAATTAATTGCACCTATTTTAGAATTTACGAAATCAAAAACTTGTAAATAGAACATTATTAAGGTAAGTATTACTCATGAACAGAAAATAAGACATTACAAAAAAATCTGCAGTAACGTCGTCTGCCTTGAATTGATACACTATTGTACTGACGGAACAGGTGAACCTGAGAGCCTTTTAACAGCCGCTTGGCAAATGTTTTTCGGCAGTTTTGCTTCTTATTAAAGTCCGCGGAATTTTTATTGCTTTGTATAGAAAACAGATTTCAGATTTTCTGAGTAGCAGAGTTGCCAACTGTTAACAAATTAAATTCAAACTGTTTAACAATCAATGCCATTAGATCCGCACCGTTTATTCGATTTTAAAAAATTGTATGCCAAATTAATGGCTTGTCCTGTAGATGTGCAATAAGGTTTTACTTTATAGAAAAGGGTTACCAACTTTAAAAAATTTAACTCATGTTATCTGTCTATCGAAATGGTTTGGAAAAGGCTTTTTTTAACTAAGTGTAGGATTGTTGCCACCTATTTTAAAAATTAATTTCAATTAAAGGTAAATGAAATATGTATCACCCTATGGCTTCCACACGAAAGAGGTTTAAGGAGGTAGTAGGTGAAAATATTTTGAATAGGGTTGCCATCTGATTTAATAGTCGAGTTTAGTAATCTTATATATTTTTCGTTAAAACTTTTTTTTTGTATGGATCAGTTTCGATTCTTTACTTCTTTTTATTTTGTATGGAATGGCCAGAGTTTCCAGGCCTTCTGATTCAGTTTCCCTTAGAAGGACAAATTCACATGAAACAGTTTGAATTTAACTTTGCAGTAAACATACACCGATGAGTCTACTGCGATTTTTTATTTTATTTGATTTCTTTTTGGTTGCCTTGGAAATAAACCTTAGCGTCTGCCTTCAAATAGCAGGGCTATTAAAAGATTCTTGTTTGACTCTCACAGTCACGCAAACCCACACTCTCGTTTGCCTTCGAATGGCAGCGCTATAGGAAAATCTTCTAATAAAGCTTCCAAAGAGAAGGTCTAAATAAAAGATCCCTTCCTAAAGGTTTTTATTTAGAAGCGCTGCTCCTTATGCCGATTGGGGGATAATGTTTACCCACAAATACAACTGTGCATACTCGTATTTACATAGTTACTTAAATTTCAGTTAGTTTTTATATATTTTAGAATAGATGAAAAAGATATCTATGTATGCATACATATGTATATGGTTATACATATGTATATTGTTATGGTATCTACATACATATGTGTTTCTGCAGGTTAGAGTTCAATTTAACAGTTAATAATGAATTATTTTCATAAGCGAGCATCTAAGTAATTAATTACCTTAATTGATACGGTATAATTTAGATGAATTGCCGCTTGTAAATGTGCTAATTTGCTATGTGCCCCTACACAGCTAAAATATCTAGCAAATTTTTATTTAGTTTAAATTTTTGGTAAATATTTTCGCATG